CTAGGGCGTAACACTTATATTGGAACATATTAATGGGCAATGGGATTCCCCGACCTAAATTCCATCCCGGTTTGCATGTTCTTTCTTTAATACGAAATAATCAAGTATGGAACATGTGTAATAATAACAGAACCACAAATTTCGACGTTCTTTCGAGATCTCTTCAGTCTTTTCACCCTGATTACGAATAACTGTCGGTAGCCTGAAGAATGATTTATCATTGTCTCGATTTCCACGGTTGCTGCAGTTGACAATAGCACAGAAATTCACCATTATTCCGCACAAAACATGGACAAACCACAGGATATCAAGCTGACAGTGTATTGTTGTCATGGTTTCCATGATTGCGTTTGTACTCCAAGATGGCGGATCACGTGTTTCGTGACGTCATGTGGGAAGCCTCTATAACAGTCTCTCGGGCCTTACGGCCCTCGCTTGAAATGCCTTTGGCATTTCGCAAACGACTACGGCGTTTGATTAATATTAATAATAAAAAAAAACACACACACACGTAAGGCCAGAGGGACTGTCGACAGTCTAATTTTGACCTCTGTGTGGCCAACCAATGGCTGGATACGAAAACGTTTGCGGTCGTTGCCAAAGAACCCCGCGTCTATCGCCTGGCGATGCTCTTCACCCCCTCCGGAATGTTCTACTTTCTCAGCCTAATCGCAGTTTTTCGAAAACGTCGAAAAACACAAGAATTAGTAGAAATGTTCCTATTTTGGGCGGATTATTGATAGAAAATAATGTCTTTATTACAAAAATGCTGTGAGTTTTTCCCTTTAGTTATTTTTTATCCGTGAAAAACTGCGAACTCGGCAAATTTGGTTGCACAACTTTCCTCTATCCACAGTGGAGGGACTGTGCTCTATCATATACACCCAGCGACACCGATGCCAGCTGATTGTGGGAGAAACCAACGGGGATCGACATTCCAAACAAAATATTGGGACACGGTGTACAGACATTCCAAACAATCGAAATTATCAACGAAAGACGAGGTTTTATTTTAGGCTTAGAAATATTTTCTTTCCGTCAGCCCATGCATGGAAACTGCCATATAGCTTCATGGTCCTTCAGCTTGTCTTCGCCTCTGAACACAATCGCGAAGA